CAATTACGGGGTCATTACGTAATTGATTTTGCCGTAATTACGGAATTGATTTTTGTCAATTACGTGCAAGCCTAAGTCCTATATAGTGATTTTTTAATATATTCCAATTATATGGTTACAAGATGTGATTGCCCGTGTAGTATTTTTATATTTTATGTTTCAAATCTCAAGTTTTGACAACCCCCGTGAATTTTAGTCCCGTGTGTTTGTCTTGTGTGTGGTAATTTTTTGTGCCTTGGCTAGTACAACATAAATTCTTTGGAGAGACCGTTGTTTATCTCATATATATATATATAAATTAATTTTCACCTCAAAACTCTGAAAATTCATTTGGGTCCCAGGTTCTACGGTAAAGTTACATCTCCATTTCGGCCCACTGTGCGCGTAGATTCACAATTACTGCTACCATTGTCATTGTACTCGCCGCTGAGACGCAGGTAATTTGAAACCTATCAGTTGGAAACTAAATACACGATCGTGTAACAGAAAGCAACCTAAAATATTAAATTTTATGCTGTCTAATAATAGAAATTTAACACATGCAAATAAATTTTAATTAACAAAATTATTCAGAAAAATAAAAAATACAATGAAGTTGACATATTTTGAGGAGAATTGCATGTTACGTCAAACACAAGACCAAAATAACAGTTACTTATATTATAAATTGTTCATCAGGTAAGTGGATTATGGGAAAAATTTTGGATTGTGTTGTTCATGTATAACTGTTTTAGTCGATTGAGGTTCAATTCAACATCACCATTATTTTCTAAATACAATTCTTCACATTTTGTAATAATTGGTATATATAATTATGGGACAATGCGAAAAAAATCCATCCACTGTAGTTGGAAATGGGTTTGCAATTTTGTGAAATATTTCTTCGCAATTTTCAATAAAATGAAATATAGAAACACATTCACTGCAATGAATGTTCAAACCTAGATTACTTTGATTGTTTGTCACTCGTCTCCGAATTTGTATCGCTTCTTTCTTATTCCTAACTACACTGCTGTTTAGTTTCAGTATGAAGTTACGAGCAGTTCGAAAAAATAGGTAAGTATTTTTTATAGTCTAGTTCAAAACCTGCAATGCATAACAACGTGTGGCCATATGCATTTTCGTTTTTTTCTATCAGCGTATATAACTAGCTAAATTCAACATGTAGCAAGAGTAGCTAATCTAGACATTACTATTTTACATAGATATAAAAAATTGTGATAAAATAAAACAAATAAAAAATTTTCTTACCTCGTATGAGTCAACTTCACGTTTGAAGATGTACTCCTCTTTCTTTTTGTTGTCTCATGTTTGATAAGGATTTAAAATAGTCAAAATCTTTTTCAGTCTTGAACTCATTTTCGCCCTAAATACAAACGTAATAGTATCAATAGTATATATATTTTGCATACTGATATGGGGTCGAGATTTCATCCAAATCAGGTTCTGTAAATATTTGATTAGAAGCGTTATCTGGTTGGTTAGATCTCAATATTTATTTCTAAATTTCCAACTAAATGACTATTTCGGTAGTCCAGTCATCATTATTAATTTACAATAAACTCTAAATAATGCTATATTAAGTAACAGGAAATTCTTCAAAAAGGCTCTAAAATTGAACTTTTGTAAATGAGACTTTTATCAACTTTTCAGATTTAAGTGAATACCCGTATAACTGGTATTGAGGTTTAAATGCATATTTATATCTTCACTATACTTAAAAATTATACCAATTATTAAAGAAATCAAGAACACTCCTACTATTTTCCTTTCCGAATATGTCCTATAAGGCAGTTCGATCTTATATTTCCAAACTGATTTTCTGAAAAACTTTCAATGATGGTAAAAATTTTATTTAGAACTGGTTTATGACTTTTATGATACCGGATTATTTGTCAAAACTGAATTTTATTCATCAACGCTGTTGGAAACGGAGGAAATCAAATATCTGAACTGAACGTTTGTAGTACTTGCAGGCAAGAAATCAATTTTCTCGTCATTGTTCGATCCAGTTTCTGAATCAACATATCTATTTGGCCGACTAAATAAACTAGAAACCGCATTATGTTTTTCTTCGGAAATGGTAGAATTGTTAGTTTTCCCAAAGGCATTGATTGTTTCATATCCATTGCTGGTCAAAGCAGATTCAGCATTAATTCCATTTTTGCTGGTTATTGATTTTGTCAGATATTCCGGAATACTCGGAATTTCACCTTCAAGTTCAATTTCTTGCACATCATTTATGCTTTGGCCTCGCTTCTCATTAAGACGTTTTTTGGCCTGTTTGTTATCGGACAATCTGATCGGTTTCGTGGGTGATGGACGTGGGTGTCCTTTGTTATTCTCCGTTCGTTTTGAAAAAGGGTGAGACATTACATATTTCCTTTTCTAGTTAATTAAATCGCCGGAATCACTGACCACATGTTCATTTTTATAAGTTTAGTTTGGAGGGGTTTATGCTCATGAACAAAACTCGCTAAATCATCAATTTTCTCGGCAATTCTTACTGCTAATTTATGGCTAACCTGCGAGGTTTCAACTCTTTAAGGTCAATTGTAAATCTATTTATCTGAATAGAAACGTTATCTTCTTCTTCGTGGATACAGATTCTTTCATCTCTCGGAGAACGTCGAGAATATTCTGCAGAGGATTTGTGAGATGCAGTTGGACTATCTATTCGTGGTACATGTACTGATTCAAAATGCCCCTCACTTGCCAGATGTTCAAAAGATGATGACGTTGATTCTTTATTGCCAGCAGGCAAATCCGAAAAGTGCTATTCCAGCAGCTTTCTTACAGATTTTTAATTCTGGATCGTTTCATTCATTTGTGGTAGATTGTCTTCAGCCAATGATGCACTAACCATGGAATCATCGATAGTCGGTGTCGTCGTCTGTATAGTATTGACAAGTCCAGTTTCTTCGATTTTTTTCAGAACGTTCGGATCATTTATAGTTTTTTCTGGTGACGAATCTATTTCGCTTCTATTAGGTAGATGACGATATTCATGGGAACTCTGTGCGACCGAATTCTTGCAAGCAGACAAGTTGTATTCTTCATTTAAAACATGGCGCTGAACTAATTATAATTACCAAATAATTATTTGGTAGAGTTAGGGTTAGATGGTTTTAGTTGGGGTGGAGATCCTTCAGTTGGGTACCATGGGGGGCACGTGGTACAAGTGGTAAAAGTGGGACACGTGGGGCAAATGGGACACGACATCTTGGAGACACCCCAAAAATACCATGAATCAATTAATTTCGATAAAAATAATCGATCAACCGACTACTATTGTGAAACATTATTTCCCTAAATATTAAAAAGATAATACTTTCTGGCTGAAACCGTTATTAACAAACCCCGGCTTTATGTTCATTATTATCTTGAACTTTAATTTTATAGACGTAATTGACGGAGTTAAAGCGAGACGACATTCGCATTTTATGCTTGGTCTGATATGTAGGCTGGCGCTGATAAAAAGTCGGTGCTCCGAAAGTATGTGCACCAAGAATATTTAATTCTGACTGAAATTTAATTTTAAGCTTCGTTCAGAGTGAACTATTTCAAGGATGTTTGGAGAGAACCATTACTAAATAAGATCATTGGCCGGCTATGCTAATTGATAATCATGTTCTTTATTCTAATATATATATATATTCTTATACCACACTGATATAATATACTTTTTCGTATCGAACCCCAAAAGAAACACCATGACAGAAAGTTCACTTCAAAGTTCCTCATTTGCACAAACTTTTTTTCATGAGAATATTGAACAGCCATAACATTGCTATTGTCCCAGAAGAAACTGATAATTATTGTTGAACAAGCAGTTAAGTTATCGGGTTCTACAACATACGTAGCATAAAGATTTTCCTGAAATGGCTGTTCACATTCTGACATCTGCATGTTTTTTTTTTTTTCAATGTTGGGTTTTTGATATAACACATATATGATATTTGTTCTCTATTTGAGTGGTGTAATTCTATATGATAGTTATAGACTTATAATTGGGATAAAGTAGCTCCTATATCTATTATTGTAATTAGGCGACCAGTTGAGCTATATTGGATTCTCTACTTCGTTTTAATTTGCTGTGCTATTCTATTCTGTGTCCTGTGTGTATACGGAAATTTTCATCTTCGGTCAAGGTTTTGCTTTATAGATAATGCCCAACATGTGAATGATTAGTGTGGTTTGACCAACAGTGAGAGTTTTTGCAGGGTTTGTGAACAATTCCCTCTGTGTGCCAACCACAATTTCCTCTTCCTCAGATCTTACAACTAGCAGGCTAGTGATAGATATAATAATTAATATTTACTCAAGTTAATAAATTTTTCTCAAAAGTGTAGGGTAGCCCTTTGTCGTTTCCTAATATGCAATCATTGAATATTCTACTCGCAGATTTATTTTTGTTTTTCAGGATGTCGTGATCATCAATTCAACATAAAAGATGTTTACATCAACAAGACTTGCAGACCGATGGATCATACATGATAAATTTGAACTGACCCCAGCGATCGACTACAAAAAACCTTACTTGAACCTTTATTAATTTATAATATATATTCCCATAACCTATTTTCTACCTCAGTATCACACTGCCTTAATTCATTTTAAATATAATTTCCGGTATATTTATTGATTGATAGTATTTGGACGTTAATTTAGCCTGTTATTTGTTGAGTGAAGCAGGTCTGCCCCGCCTCTTCATGCATACAACTTGGCAATTCGTCATTAGGTGACTCCAACTACAATCAGCTTGGCGATATCATTATACACAAACAATGTTAAATCTCACTGCTCTATGTCTGCCTCACCTACGTTCTATCTAACCAGTGGTGGGATTCAAATTTTTTGTCAGCCAGTTTCTTTACAAAAGTTATATTTTTCAGCCGGTTCCGTTACAAACAGAACATTGACAGTAACCAGTGCGAATCCACTGAATCCCACCACTGGTTCTAACTAATGAGATTAAAAGAAAGTGAAAAACAAACATCCTAAGTCCCATCATCAAGAGTAATTTCAAACAATACAAGTTTTACAAGAAATCTTTCCTTTGCTTCAAATAGAGCAAATGGGCACGAAGGCAAAAATGAATAACAATAATGATGTAATCAAAAGATATCACCAAAGCAGTGCACCCACATATAGATCTTAGCATGTCATTATAGTTGCTTACTCTCTCTCTCTATTAGTAATACATTAATATTTGGGTGGAAAGGATGCAAAATGGTGAACTTGCAGAAACTAAGTGACCGAAAAAGTTCCAGCAACAAAATATGGTATTTCAGAGCAGTTTTGTAAAGGAATTCAGCAAAAACACTTTGAGTCAAATCTATATTTGAACAAACAGTTTACTAGTTTTCGGTTAACACAAGTCAATGACTTAATTGATTAGGCTACATTGTAAAGAGCTATCTAAAAAAATACCACGCTGGGAAGAATATAAAAGAAAACCAAGCTTTTTAGGCAATGTTGCCACTGTGGCAGGCTGTAGAGTCATGGCGCACACACCACTCAGAGTTCCACATTCATAGATGTACCGAAACACATCTATATATGGAAATCTTGATGAAATTGTCATCAAAACATCTCTAAATATATACAAATCTTGATATGTTATCAGAAAGTCAAATCAGAGCACCAGTACTTTTTTGGAAATATTTTGAGATATGAAAATTTTGACCCTACTTTAATTTGGAGAAAATTGAGGTCAAAGAGATAGAAGTCCGTATGTGCATACATTATTAACAGATTTTGATGTATTGAAATATCTGCATGTTGCAGATATCAGTACATCTTCAAGTACATATAATGAACAATAATAATAATAATAATAAACTAGCAGTTAAACGGGATTTGAAAATCTAGATGAGATGAGATAATTGGTTTGAACTGATTAATCCAAATCCAGAAGCGGGTCTGAGTGTTTAATATGTTACTTATCTATTAAATTAACAGCTTTGCAAAATATGTAATAAAAAGATCAGAGATAACAAACAAGAACAAAATTAACAGCATCGGTTTTTATAAAAGTAGTATTATGTCCTTCCTTTGCAAATGTGATACAGAAAGAAAAAAGGAGAGTCAGCCCCATCAATTTGTGCTCTCTACCAAAAAACATACATGTAGTAAGGAACTAAGAATGCCAGACTTTAAAGAAACAAAATTATCGATAAGCAACCAATTCAGTTTCTCATGGGTACTATGCATAAACACGAACAAAAAGGCTCAAGTTGACCACTAAACTTTTCTATAACTTCTCACACAAAGAGATTACGAACTCAAAACCAATCCCTGGGCTATTGCACTAAAAATATTTGGGAATCATATATAAACTTGTAGGAAACATAAGTGAAAATCAAATGCAAAATATAAAAGAAACAAGTTAATACCATTTCACCCAAAGAGTAAGAGCAAATGAAAATGCAAATATAATGAAAAAATTTATATACATAATAACGTAGCATACACAAATCCCAAAACCCATCAGGTCTTCAAATGTAGGCATCTCATGATCTGAAATAAAAGACATGTTACCATATCATTGAGTAAAATGATTATTTTGAGGAAAAGACTAAAAACAAACCTCTTCATAAACAGTCCATGCCATTGCTGCTATCAGCGTCCTCCTCAGCACCCTCGGTGTGAGTCCGCGGAAAAATCCTCTCAAACCTTCAACCTAAGATAAGAACAGAGATTGATATTTTTGGAATGAAATCGTCCTTATTATTTACTTTGGTAAATTAGAAAATATCCACTTCCGTATATGATTGATTTTAATTTATTGTTTCCAAATAAATTTTCTTTATAAACTAGTTTGTAACAAATGGCAATAAATGTCCAGACAAGGACATTGTTATATGAGGTTCTTGCATATCTGGTGTTGAACTGTGGTGTATGCAAACTGAACTTATTATTTTTCGAATCTTTCACAGAGTTGATTCCACATGTAAAAAAACTAGAAGAGTGGATCAAATTTCTTTGGACCAAAATGCAGATTGAAAGCAATAAAAAGAATGTACACATAATATTGTAGAGACACAAACTGCAATATAACAGAAATATATTTCAATGCAAAACTTACATTGTATACTTTTATTACAGTTCTTTTGAGTGAATTTTTGTTTTCACTAACTTGCATCTGAGTTTTTATTACATCAGCAGGCTGAGTCAGTACAGACGCACAGACTCCTGCACCTATGCCGCAGATAAAATGCATCGTGCAGCTGCCATTTCCTGTTAACACATACCAAATATATTGATTTAATCACTGGCACAGACAAGTAATGACAAATATTGATTAAATGATTATTCAGTCTCTCAATGTATTAAAGTATTACCAAGCCCGGGCAACAGAAAATACGTTATTGATTACATTATGAATAATTTGAATAATTACCATTTTCAGCCATTATTGACTTTCCTTTGTTGTAGAACATAAGATACAAGCCGGAGAATGGTGCATCTCTTATAAGAGTTGCAGATAACCCCGAAACTAATCCGTGGCGACCTTCGAGTGTGTAGATGCTATGCAGAGCATTCCCAACGCCTGTATATTTAAAATTTCCGCTCTGAAAATTAATGAAACAATCAGCGACAACATTATAACCAGGTAAATAAATTAAATATGGCAACTTACCTCAATGCGTGTTTTTACCACTGTGAATGGTATAAGTATTGTAGCTGTTATGGTGCGAGCAGTTGCACCTAGTAGCAATGACTGGTACGCAGTTGGGCTTGCATCTCTGTAACAAATTAAATTCACAATTCAGTTAAATAACAGTTCAAAATTCATTAAATATATAAAATGACTGTTGAAATACTAGTATTCAGCTAGCACTCTGGGTCCAAGTATTAATTTTCTCAAGTAATTAAAGACTGTTACCTAAAAAAGTGACTTTTGAGAGCATGTAGAGAACTGAAATACATCCCCACACCTGGTACACATCGATAGATTGACTGAAAAAAAAAAGTTTTTTAATTTATCGAAATGCAGAAAAAATTTACAACAGCCAGCCCTATATCGCTATACTCACTGGCTGGAATCCCTTCCATAAACCAATAACTCTATCATTTCTAACGATGCAATTCATCGTTTGCATCATGCCGAGTTTCTGAGATCCAGCCAAGCTGGATGCAACAGCGGCAGATTGCAGTCTTGTCTTCACAAGATCCAGGGGTTGAAACAACAATGTGGAACATGTTCCACTGAGGCTGCCCGCAAGAAAAGACTTGACGAGTGGACTTGCCTGAAAGAGAATGAAATATAATATACATTACTGATATATATTATTTTCTAGAATCTGGATATATTCTATATTACATGCTTAATGAAATTGAAATCATCAAATCAAAATATTTCTATAACAATTGGTTATTAGTATAACAAATGCAACTTAAACCAACCCACCAGTATGCTATCCATGATTGTAGCGTTTTCTGATGTTTTTGCTTATTATCCAAGATAAAAAGAATAGTGATATCGATATAGACAAATGTATTGAGGTCACAATTATAGTTTATTAATTGATTGTCTTTCAAGTCTTTTGGCTAGTGAAACGCGCTAGGGCACAACCACGTCGCCTGAAAATGCGTACACACTTCCAACAATAGCAGCTCTTGATAAAATATATTTCACAAGCAACGCATTGTCTTGAAGGTTCTTAAACTCTAGTAACTCCGATGGAAAGTTCATGATGTACAGTGAAAAAGTTGACAAAGAAACGAAAGTAAAATATTGGTTTCATTCGATCCTAAATCCAAAATTTATATCCAACTGTTATCAGACTGCAAGAAGTCTTCTGGTCTTCTTAAAGTTAAATCCAGTTTCCAATTATCAACAGTAATATATCCTAATGAATACAGCTATTAATATGGAAATTGATACCAATAAATGAAAAAAATTTAATTTCGTTAACATAAAAAGAATAAGCAAGGCAAAGTTTTTCAAATTCCCAACTACCTTTACTACCACAGTAACTGGCTGACTAATCCAATATCCGGCATGAACTGGTACCGGAGGAAGGCTGTGGTATGCTATTTGGTTACAGGGTTAAGCTGTTTTATCGCATTTCTTTCCTCTCTTCCAGAAGAAATATGTAAATCCTATCCTATGAAAAGGAATGATTTTAACATATCACAATTTCTTAGTAGGCTATATCAGTATATTCTGATATTTGAGCAGAGTCCCTGGCAGGTGGGTAAAGTTGTGTTTCTTTTAACCATCTTTAAAGTTTCGCATTTCAACATTTAAAGGAGGGGGGTGCGCATTTCCAATACGTTGATAATATCTTTGTCGACCAATTTGCAATCACCGTGTTTTTGTCTGTTTGATTGCTGTGATGCGATGCTTTGTTTATAATTTGACGAGGTATGTTCGAAATAATCGTGTTCTTAAAATATATGACGGTCAGAAATGCAATAAAAAGCCCAATTTTTCCACGCATGGCTGCGTATGTTCCAGTACGCAGCATAAGCGATGTTCAAGGCTTGAAATCCGCGGTCGCACACTGGTTGTTTGGTCGCAAATACGTCTTCAGAGTGTCGTACTTTGGTGGTTTGTATAGCTTTAACCCCTGGTTGTAGAAAGTTAATTCGAGGTTTAGCGTCTACAATAAACGCCAATGCAGCTACGGTGAAAAAATTAACGGGTTAGAAATATTAGTTTTTATTTTATAATGGTTTGAATGAAATCGTCCGCAGACTGGCTGCACCACCCTACCGGAACCGAGTTTTTTTGTAATCAAATTTTATACATAAGTAAATAAGTTATAACTTATAGGTGAGTAAAAACACAATAATATTTCTCTCTTCTTGCTTCCTTGTAATACAGCAATATTGGAATGAAATAAATACGGTAACTAGGCTATAGTCTAATACTGTAATAAATCACAAAAATTTCAAACCAGTAAATGAAGTTTACCGGTATAGTTATAGACTCATACCAGTATACAGTTATCTTATTTTATCAGTCCGTAAAAAACGAACATGTCGCTTAGTAAAGTCAAGTTTATTTTATATACTGAATAGAGTTGCCAGAATAATGATCTTTTCACTCTAACAAACTCAGAAGTTAAAACACGCAAGCCAGCACACGAATGTAAACAACTCGGGAGAACTCGTCCTCGAGTCAAGAGCCAACTCCCTTGGAATCGACCAACCAGACGGGAGGCACCGTCGAGTGAGCCAATGTTACGTTATGTTACAACAGAGCTTCATGATGAAAGAGTTGGTGAGGGTATATTTGGGTGGCTTTCACCTTCACCATAATATTTATAACCTTTGTTTAAACATTCAATTAATAATAATTCGTTGCTAATTTACGATTTATCTAAATAATTCTGTTGTAACCTGATGAATTTGAACTTCTCTGAAACCGAGACTCTGAAATACATAACAACCCGCGCATACTCTTGAAATGAACCAATCATACAGCAGATATACCAGCAACAACGGCGTGAAACTGGTTCTCGCTAGGTTTCTTGCGTATGTTTCGTAACCGTGTGAGCAACCTTTCAAAGATCGTTGACCCCGTTCGAAGCGAATGGGTTCATTTGGATCTTCTGGAGCTCGAAAAGGGGATAGAGGATACTATATTATTATTCTAATTTTATTATCATGCTTAATTAGACAAGAAAAACAGCAATTCGGTACAATTTAAATGCAGCAAACAATCAATCATTTATTTTGGTTCTCTGACATAAACAATACAAAAACTAGCCGGACAAAACAAAATGCAGCAGAGATACTTGGGAGATGGGCAAAACTCAAAATAAAGTTAAAAAGCGTACAATGTACGTGTCCGCCCACCAAAAAAAATAATAGAACAAACACAGAAAAACGCGATTTACAATCCGGGCAGTACTTTGAAGGCAATTAAAGAAAAACAGGAAATATGAAGAGAATAATTAAATAGAAACTTGTGACAACTTCTTCCGTCTTTGGTTGATGACAATTTGAACCACATGTTGGTATTCAATTAGGATTTATTGAGAGATGATCATAATTAATATATAAATGAAGCCGATTTTAAATACTGCAAATACACTGTAGGCCAATGAAATTCTTGGTTGTGTCGCACAAATCCGAATAAGTAGAAAGCTATATAACACATCGTTCGCTTTCAGGAACCCACAATTTCACAAACAATTTAACAAATGAAAAATGCATGATTGAAAGGCAGCATGAAGCTTTGAATATTGGAAATATGGGGACAATGGTTATTCTTAAAGTAGCATGCTGTTTAACTTCTTTCCATTAATGTCGCCCAGCACCAATTCCAAACAATCTCGTCCCTTTCCTTATCCCAGAATACCATATTATTCTAATATTATTTTAATTCAAGTTGGTAAAATCCATGAAATGGTAAAATGCTTCTCTTCATAATTTATTATTCTTTATTACATTGTACTTTTATACCTTCTAATTGTCTGGCTGAAACGCGATCTAGGTTTTGTGGAAATGCAACCTACCTAGGCTAGGTTACTTCTTTTTTGAATCCTCGTCTCTTTTGGCTGTATTCAGAACTAGAAAATACAAAGTCGCATTTTACCAAGAATTGTAGGAACGCATTTTTTCTAGAATAGCCATATATTACTAAAGACACTCACCCTTGAGTGGTGCATACCAAATATATACACACAAACTCTTATAAACTTGACTATTTCCCATTTATAGTATGTGGTATCATCACTCAAGGGTACTGTATTTATGTCCAAATTCTAAAATTTATTATTATGTTCACATGCAGTGTCTTTCATGTTGTGTTGTCTCTATTTATTGATGATGTTTTGTCCTACAGACTCCGCTAAACAAACAGTTTCGTATACTCCACCCTTATCCTTGTTACCACACCCACCCACCTTGCACAACTGTCTGTATAAAGGACCATATTATACGTATTTGATTTATTCTATTTTATGCTCATCATAAGGGGTGCATGTCGCACATTCGGTGTTTTAGGCCAGAATGGTCTTGTGCATACAACCCGTCTTCAGTATTGATAATTACTAACTCATTTATATTGCCGTTAAGAGAATAATAAACATACATGGTTCCATTACATTTAAATCCGTGTACATTTGAACCCACGTACATTTGAACCACGTACATCTGAACCCACGACAATTGCACCTGCATAATATTGCACCTATAGAATTTTTTTTGTTTTACGGATGTTTGAACCATACTAACCCTAACCCATGGGTTTTAGCACCCGCATATAGATTGAACTCGCGGATATACACATGGGTTCAAATGTACATGGCTCAAATATACGTGGGTTCAAATGCACGGTCACCAACATACATACATGCAAACATACTAGCTCCAAAATTATGTGCACCAAGATGGCGCACAACCTGAACATAGTAATACTCCAGGTTAGGGTTCAGATTGTGCGCCAACTTGGTGCACGTACTTCGGGAGCGCCCAAACATAATATTGCATCCAGATCTTAGATTTTGTGAAAGTATTCACAGTAACACGTAAGATGAAACAAGGGGAACGTACACAATCACGTGCAAAGCAAGGGTGAATCTTCTAATACACCATACCAGCCCAAGGGTTCTTGTTGACATGCGTAACGTTTCAATTCGAACTACACATTCACTGAAACAATGAAATATCACACAGAGTTATATGAAGTCGTCGAAGATGATGCGTATGCGTAAACGATGTTTGGGTTGACTGAAATTTTGAACTTGGTTGAAATACTTTCGTTTCAACAAATTTACAACCAACCAAAATTTACATGAACACGGTTATGATGGAACTCGGCTCTCATGTTTTAATTAGCCTACATCAGGCCTGCCCAACCTTTTTGTCTCGCGGGCCACTTTCACATGACGAAATTCGTTGCGGGCCGCAAACGTTTATACCAAACATTAATACCAGCTAATTTCTAATTTCGGTGTAGGTAATTTACATGATACATAAAAGGCAAGTTCATTAACATGAAATCAACCAAGTTAATAATTGCTTTCTGGTTACTGGGTAAGGTAATCAGTAATTTATTTTTTCACCATGCTGAAAAATACGAATTCTACATAAACAATTTAAAAGAAATATATAAAAAAAAATCGCATTCCAGGGTGAAGGGAGACGCCGAAAACCAAAGCTGGTTATCGAGCGGCGACACCGTTGATAAAGTCCAACAAAACGTGATAAATACAATAAAGTCGAACAAAAATATGTTATTTAATAAGTAAAATGAAAGAGCAATAGGTACGTCAATGCGACCTGGTGAAACCAACGACTAACATACCCAAGCAGTCGCCGTTTCAATCAAAAGAAGGTAGACTCCAAGCACCACAGTCAATGTAACCATGGTGATTATATTGCAGAATAGTTTAGCAGTGTTGTCAATACGAGGTACCGGTAACGTTGGACTGTTTGCATATGGTCAAAGTTAAAGTGGACTGAATGTAAAGAGCACACACGGTGTACCAGCATAATATACTGTCAAGTGTACAAGTATCAAAATAGTGACACTTTTATGGCAGTAAAGGAATAATTGTATTGTTGACCCTAACCCTGTCCCTGTGCTTGCAAGTGTCTTGATGCTGTAGTCTTAGAATTTACAAACAGAATTCGCGAAGACAAGAATATACGTTGAAAAATTTCACAATATTGTTAAAACCGAACAAAGTAGTAATAAATAACATTCTGGATTGTCCATTTTATATAGAACATGGTAGACCAGGGTAGATTTGAAACAAAAATTAAGTTGATCAATGAGTTAAGGAACAAGTATGTTAGAATTCAAGTGATGCTAATTAGGACACGATGGAAATGGTGACAAAAATGTGTGTACTGCACCATATGCATGTGAGCTTGTATTGGAAGTTAAAAGAATACATATCAAGCAAAAACAAGTTAAATAAAAGACCATAATCATCGTGTAGCGAGCTAAATACTAGGGAAATTTGCTTTCTATATAGCCTACAGTTATTTTATGTATACCAATAATTACACAATACACTGTTTTTTACAGGTAATGTGGATGTAGAAGGCAATTGAGCTGGCGATGACAGTGGTGGGACAAGATCAAATGGATGACGATACAGCAGAAAGGTAGAGGGTAAGCATGAATTTTTTAAATTTTACCTCGAAAGTGTCATAAAGACTGTCACGTAAGTATAGGGGAATATTATTCCAAATTACTACACCTTCATATTTCAAAGAGTTCTGGGATTTGCTGGGTAAAATAGATTAGACTTTGACGAAGAGCTTGTATTATGTTCATGAACCTTACTACTAAGCGAAACGAAATAATTGTCGAAGGCAGCAGGCAAATTGTTGCTATGAAACAGGTGCAAGACCTTTGAAATCTCTAGTCTATAGATATCTGCCAATTTCAACACCCTGGTCTTATAGTATAGGGTGGTTAAGTGATATCGATCAGGTGCCCTAGAAAGAATTCTAACTGCCCTATTTTGCAAAACCTCTAATCTGTGCAATGTTGATTGGGTGGTGGAGCCCCATGCAGTTATAGCGTACTGGATGTGAGACTGGAAAAGGGCAAAGTATACGGCTCGGAGAGTTGAGTCCTGGACATAATGTCTGAGCTTACCCAGAATTCCGACTGATCTTGAGAGTCTCTTATGCAGTTCAGTGGTATAGGTATTCCAATTTAGTTTGTCGTCAATATGAAGCCCAAGATTTGAAGGAGTGAACGATTTCCAGTGTGGTACCCCTGATTTTAATTGAGAAGTTTTCATGTTTGGTTCGAGTTTTAGGGCCAAACAACATGACTTTGGATTTTTTTGTACATTCACAGTAAGTTTATGGCATATCATCCAGTCATACACCTTGTTTATTTCAGTGTTCACCTTGGGTTGAAGTTGAGGTTGAAGGTTGGCAAATTATTCAAATATCAAGTCGAATATTAGAATAGCAGTTTACCGTCTGATACCCCGGGGCGTGGACATGACACTCGCGGGCCACCGAATCCAAGAATCAATCATTACACAAGTTGTATACCGCAACACCATTGCATTTTTTGACGACCACACGAGAACACATACATCGCGTCAAAATTGAGTGTTATATTTGGGTTGTAATGTTTTCATCCATTTACTTTGAGTAGCTATGATACTATCTCAAAGTTTAAATGAGCATAATGTGCCCCAATGTCGCGGGAATATCAAGTTTAAGTGGGCCGTTTCGAAAGATTGGAAACATCAATGCAGGTATTTAACAAGTAATAATATTTAGCAATGCCGTTAGGTCAATTTCATCAGAATTATTGACGGATACGCAGTTACGACATTTCCGAAATCTTATTTAACACAAACATAACATAAACGTAAATAATAAAAATAAAATTAAAAATAAAAGGACAACGAGTCCCGGGATCAAAGATCAACTAAAGATATTGTTGACTTTTTTTGACACATTGGCGATCGAAGTCGACATGAAAGAAAGCAATCAGAATGAAATTAATCTGCGAATTTAGGTTCCAAATTCATTCCGTTAATTGCGCTCAGCGTTTGTCCCCAATGATCGCACAGTATCCAAAAATTACTTCCAGGAATAAAAAAAATACTGACGTCGATGTCCACCAGGGTGCAAGACTTGACGCATACGTAATAATAAGAACCGCCAATTGAATGTGGATAGATGGCAGGAATAATCCCACCAAAATCACCAAACATACTTAAGCCTATATATTGATATATAAAATAGTGAAAATTTAAATAGTCTTCTTACAAACTTTATAGGGCAAGCCGCAAAAAACAGTTCGGCGGGCCGCGGGTTGGGCAGCCTTGGCCTACATGCTGTTTTCGTCCCGTGCGTGTCTTCTTTTAATTGGTGAACGAGCATTTTTTATGTGCTTTCAACCATATTCTAAATATTACTTCTTCTGTTTTTCCAATTACTTCTTGTTGTGTTGTGTTAGTTCTGTCTTTGCAAGCTAAATATTATATACGGTATTGTTGTCATTACAATTTATTCGTGTGTTGAATCCTGTTCTGCTTCAGTTAAACTTTGACAACAATTTCTATGAAATTTTGACTCACGCAAGACGGAAAATCAGAAAAGTTGCCAACGCTTCAAATGGGAACAGTACTACATGGGCGCTATTCCACCATTAATATATCTGTTATAACTTGCAAGAACGAATTCAGCTATTTCCGTTGCAGTTTGCTATACGTTGGACTCTTTTGTTTATATCTCATATCATAATAGAATGTTGTTATTATCAGTGTTCTTAGACGGTAGTTCCCTTAAGTAGGCCACCTCGGTGATTGTCTAATCCAGTGGTTCCCAACCGTTCCACCCACGCGGACGGTAACATCAAATAAAATAACCTTTCGGATTGTCAACAAAGTATTGAAATGAGTTAAACAGAAAATAATATCCCTTTTTGAGTATCATATTTCAATTTTTTGGTACAGACCATTCATCAGTGAAAAAACAGCTCAAACGGTTAATACAGGAGAATGTCCGGTAATAATACTTCGCAAGAGTTTCATATAATTCTATCGACTTGCTGTTGTATCATCCGATAGATTGGTGCGAGATGGAAATAGCGACTTCAGTGTTCAATGTCTAAGCATAGTACATCTGAAGCATCTCCAAATTCTTCATAACAACCTAATATACGACATTTTTGAGCGAACTCCCACGCTTCTTGTAATTTACAAAGAAATACATAAACACAGATCTGGGTCAAATATTTAAAGTTAAATGATTCGGCAATTTTTTTCGATTTACATTCAAAAGTAGATTTCAAGCAGCGGTAGCATAAATTTTGGTGCAAGGAGTTTTTTTTTGTCTGTTTTGTTATATAAATACGATAAAACTTGTAAAACATTGTTCACTTTTATGCAGGGTGATGTGGACTAAAAAGCATGTGTAAAGCTTTCGCGACCGATCGGAACCTGAAAAGTTTGATTACGTGCAAAAAACCGCCACGCAGTCTACATCATAGATATCAGAAGCTTACAACAACAAATAAACAAGGTCGTCTCTTGGTACAATTATGAAAATAGCCAACAATTTGAATATACATTATCTCGTAATCTATAACAACCCCTGATAGAAAGTCATCATCATTATTTTACTGCAACTCACGTTCATCGCCAAACATCCATTGTATATTTTTAATTTTGGAGTGGCAATTTTTTTCATTAGTTTATATATTTTTTCTTTTTACTTAGTAATATTCCTTATGTGTATTTTTTTTTCTTCTAATTTTAATATGTCTTCGTGATCGTATGTACAGATGTACCGGTTTGTGTGTAAAACTGGAAATTTGTTGGGAATCAATTAGAAATGTTGAGAATATTATTCACTACTGTTTTAATATTATTTTTATTGAGAATGGTATTTAAGGAATATAAGATAATTATACAAACTAATATTGTGTTTATCACATCACAGGCGATCATCGTTTTATTGATAATAATATGAATCTTCAGGGAACTATTGTTGTATTTCTTTTTTCCCAATCACAATGGGGACTTCTATATATTGTTGGATCAACTTCAATTATAAGAAATCCACTTACAATGCTTGTAGCTGGTGTCATATTCATTCCTGGCTTAGCAATACTTTTACGCAAGCTTCTACCGTCAGTTTATGAAGACAATCTGGGAACACATAAGAGGAACTGGTTCTTTTATATGTGCTGTCTTTTTTCTTGGTCATATGTTGCAGACCTTGTGTTATGTCTGGAAAATCTTGGATACATCGACGGATACATGGATTGGTATTTGCAAAGTGGGGAACCCTATCTAAACACTTCATTTGGAATTTATATCAATATGTGGAATGCAGTTGTTCACTACTTACTATATCTTACTATTATTTACAAATACGACAACAAACAGGACTACAGAAGTTATGGCATTTACTGTATGGGTTCGATAATTGCAGGATTGTTTGTTGCCACTACTGGAATGATTGTAGGAAGTTATGGGAATGATATTCATCCTGCTTTTTTCCTCAACATTCCTTACATAATATTGCCATTCTGTGCTCTTGTATACTTATTAAGATTACCTCAACACGAAAATTCAACTGTACAAGAATACCCTCTTACTGAATTGAGGTGAGTGGCCGTAACATGTACGAGTTCTAACTAGTTTGTTGTGAATAAATAATTTTTTTTTTCGTGTGACTCCTCTTTTCTCCATTTTAACTCCATTGGAATAGAGTAGTATTTTCATATGTTCTGGCAGATGCTACTTTTTCGGTTGAACAACTCAAATACTTTATCAATCACCCTGTGATTGCGAGTTTTTTTTATCATGGCCTACATTATCATCTGTGTTCCAAAGGGAAGTTGGTTCCAACCTTAACCAAAAGTCAACATCAGGCATCTGAAATATGATACCCCAAACTAACCAAATGCATAAGCCATACAATCAAATTTTTTCTATGTTTCTTTTAGATCAGAATCGATGGGAGCATTCGACATCTTTGTAATTGGAGTTTTGATTGCATCAAATATAGTTGGTTTCATTCGAGGTCTTGCTGCTCTTGGATCTCCTTTCCCAATGATTGTTTATTACGTTAAGGAATATGAACCTTATCTGTTAGATCTGACTAAGTTTGGAGCATTGCATTGTCTTTTCAATTTTGTTTACTGCTTACCAGCTCAGGTAGTAATTCAATGCTATTTCTTTCAGATGTTATTTAATTGCATAATGTACATATTAGACTGTGTAAATGACCCCAAAAAAAATCATAATCAAATCAAACTGTATACTACATGTTTCACACCAAAATGTAACTATGAATAATATGGGTATTTGAATTAAAGTAAGAGGTGGCTTATTTGACCACATATAGTATATATTATCAAGGCCAGAAAAACTTGTCATTCATATCAGACCTTTTGAGTTTGGATATAAAATTGTCACTTTTATTCAACTGCAATAATGGAAAAACAATATAAGAGTATCAGTGGCATTGGGAAAATGCGCTACTGTCACTCGCACAAATGAAACGGAAAAAGTTGCCACTTTCCACTGCTGTATATCCTAACCATCAGTCGAAAATATGTGGCCAAGCCTTTTGCTTCCAATTGATATTCATTTGTATCCTATATTCATTCAAATAACCAGGTGATGCTGATTTATGCATTAGTTAAAGGAGGAGGAAAATGGGCAGAGGATTTGTCAACAGCTTTATCTGGTGCAATGGCACAGGTGAGAAGTCATGTTTGAATTTGTAATTGCGCTGATTGTTTCAATTTCTCAAATTTTTCTTTTTATACAGGGTGTATTTTGTTATGTAATGGCCGCTACTTCAAGTAGGACTCCGCTGGAATTTCACATTGGCAGTAATGTTGAATTTTTCATTGTGTTGAATGCTTTTATTGTCCTGATTCCTCATTTGGCAATGTATCGTCTGAAACAGAACAAAAGTGATCATTTGAAATGCCAATAAATTGGATTGAACGCACATAATGTTACAAATCTTCTTTCAATGGATCGCAATTTGTGATCTACTCATTATTTTTTTTTGTATTGTGTTTTTCATGAGTATTGATTGGGAAATTTAATATTCACCAGGACTGAGGCTGATTGATCATTTGAACGATATGAACGATAATTTATGAATAACAAATGCAAGGTTTTATTTATTGCTATATTTGGTAAGCATAAAGCCACTGTGAATTTCAAAATGGCAATCAATTGTGCTCATTTTGTGATTTTAGGAATTATTTTTGTAGTACAAAGCATATTTTCTTTCATAAATACATATTTTAGGCTTGATCATTAGAATGTGGCGCTCACTTATTCATGGATTAGGCCCCACAGGCCAACTGTCCCTTTGGTCTTTGCGCTTATGTATATTGTGTCAGTTGCACATCAAAATACACATTTATTTTCATATTTACTATGCAATTATGGCATTTTTTATTGAATCTATTTCAAAGATATAGTCGAGATATTGTCAATACTGTATATTTCACTGTTCTACATTAAACTTAACAACCGATTATTGTAATATGTGCATGATCGCTTACCAGGGTTTCAGAGACATGGTGTCTCGAACATGTCTTGTGCCACTTGTCACACATTTGTATCAATTTCCCCACGTATGTATCCCCCTTGTCCCACGCTCGTGTCTCATTATGACGTTTCGGCCATGTATATGTGGAACGGGTTAAGGCAGTGGTCGGCAACCACCGGGCCGCGGCCCATCGCCGGTCCGCGGAAAGGTTATTACCGGTCCGCAGAGAGGTGACACAGAAACGGACAAGGCCATAATGAAGCCTCTACAGTCTAACCACATACAACCTCGATCAAAAAAGCACTAAACCAGACAAACATAACGCATTTCAGCAGCATGTCTGACTTCACAAACAATTCCCATGTCATTATGTCGCATTGACGCTGGATCAATTGTTTCCTCTACGGCCGTATAAGAAATCTCACATCAGTTGGAATAAGATCTCTCGAACAAAATGATTCTCGCTAGGAACGTGACTAGTGACTACTCCACTACTTGCTCATAGCTAACCGGTCATGACTAGTCAGTGCTAATTCTATACTTCAGGAATCAGGATAATCATAGGTTAACACATGTACATCGGGTAAAAAATTAGTTATGGCAAAACAAACAATAATAAAATCAAATGTTCAATCAAACATCAATCAATACCCAGACTAGAGACGGAAGGTTTACAGGCATTGTTACTTATCCCAACATCTTATTAATGTGAGGCCTGGTTTTCAATATTGATAACTACAAAAAACGAAATATCGAAGTAGGCTGTATGGAACACGTTACATGTGTCGGTGTCGACCATATCTCCAATATTGGAACAGTTAATTGCCAGCCAATAAATACAGATCTCGCATTAAATAGCATGGCTTTCGTTTTTTCAGTATATTGTCAACATAAGTTTCCTAACGCGTATAATTTATTGCATAAGCTTAGTTCGTTCGTATAAAAGGTGGTCCGCTAAAATTTTCGTCAGGCTTTACCGGTCCGTCACTCAAAAAAGGTTGCCGACCACTGGGTTAAGGTATAAAAGCAAACTGGAGAAATGCTAGGCTAGGTACAGATGGGCCACGCATTAGAAATGAGAAATGATGGCATGCAGTACAATTGAAATATACAAGACTCCTGGTTGCGCCATTTTTACGTTTTAAAGCTTTACAATTTACATGAATGAAACAATCTGTAATTTTTGACAGATATGCCATGCTTGGTTTTACATTAAATGAGTAAATCCTTCCTATAATAATAAAAATAAGTTCCAATCTCCAACTCCAATTTTACCTTGAATGGTTCGAGCTTGAAAGTACATGATTCTGTTGAAAACTTTGCAGTATTTATTAATAACAGACTTAATCTGAACGACCACGTCAACCAATTACATCCAAAATTATCAAGGGCGGTGGAAATAATGAAAAAAAAACTTCCCTAAAAGTAATGCGAACTTTTATTTTTGTCTATTTTATTTCCACTTACGATATGGAATTGTGGCTTGGGGCTCTGCTGGTGAAGAGACTTATGCCGACTTATGTAGACTTATCGATACAATGTATACATACTTCACTGGTTGTGGTTATCTGTGTCCAATTCGTATAATACAATGGTTCCCAACCCTTTTTCAACGACACAAATTTTGTAAAAAAATGAGTTTCGTAAGAACTTGCGACCCAAGGATATGCTTAAACACTAAACGGCATGTAGTGCATCTGTGGTCGTAAAATTAAATGACTTATATAAAAAGGACAATTATTTTTACATAATTCATCATTATCTATTTAATTATTTCAACAGCTCCAACATTATTATTTGTTTGTCTTCAGCGATTTTTTGAAATCGTGGCATGGTTTTATTAAACAAAATAGATGCTTCTCGGTTTTACGCTGTGATACTCCCCACATATAAAATTACTATTGAGCAACACTTCAATACCAAATACAAAATAAACAATAAAATTTACTAGAAAATACATCAATAATATTTAGGGTAAATTTGGGTTGGGTTGCGCGAGACTAACTTCCTATCTTTTCTCTATGCCTTTATGCTAGTGGATCCGTATGCGTATACTGCAAGGATACTGTAGCTGGAATAAACATGACTATTCTATTCAATTAAAGAGTCCAGCTGCACACTAACACAAATGTATTTCTGTAACGTTTCGTCTGACCAGAGTCAGACTTCCTCAGACAAGCAGTTTACAACAATGGCAAGAAAAGAAATTTGGTAAATGAATTTGAAATATCAAATCAAGTATGACGTAACAATACATAAACATTTAATTTGAATTTAGCCGTAGAAGTAATGATGGGAAGATTAGAACCACAAATATCAGTGGAGCTAATTTCAGATGTAATTAAAAAAAAAAAAAAAAAGTTTTATTATTGCATTTACGAAAATGATGGGTAACTAAATGTAATTAAAATTATGGGCACTTAGAGAACCACGAGGAAGTAAACCAACATTTAAACATAAATCAAGGCTTAGTTTGGTGAGGACCAATTTCAAAATTAAAAAAGGTTAAAAGTTATTGCTGAATTTTGATCTTGAATAGCGTTAAAATATAATAATAATTCATAATAATAAATGAATGAATTAACCATCTAGCATATTTCGAGTAGGACAAAAAAAAAAAAAAATTGAAAAACCATCGCAAGCACATAAATCCAAGGTTTTGATTTATAATTAAAATTAAACTTGGGACACTTGAAAATAATAGTAAAATAAAACGCCAATCAGGGGGCGAGTAATAATATAAACTTAAGAAAAAGGGTGATTGTTAAATTTAAATATTATATGACGTTGAAACGAAAATTATTATTAAATAATAATTCTTAGATGAGGGTACAGTCTATTTCTCCCGTGAATTGAGTCCTTGGGGTTCCAATGTTCCAAATTTGTTGATGTAGTATGCTTCTACTGTTTGGCGATAGCCCTGGTCTCTGAATAGTTTTTTTATTCCAGTTACTGAAAAGTCACTTATTGAATGTCCCAGTTTGTTGAAGTGTTCTCCCACAACTACACAAATGTATTTCTGTAACGTTTCGTCTGACTCCATCACCACAAAACCTAGAGCAATTTGTTGTAACTGGGAAATGTCCGAAAGGACTCGAATTCACTCCGAAAACTTGTGCCACCCCGCTGAAAAACTTGACCAAATGGCAAAATTTCATAAAGAATTTTCAAAACAATTGACGAAGCAAGCTCTTAAGGAATGTCGTTCAAGTTTAAATGAGATAACTAATACCAGGTTAGAAATAGAAAATAAACTAAGAGCAAAAATGAAAGCAGATATCTGGAATGCCATCCGACTTATGATAGATATTTCTAGAACAAATCTAACGGCAAAACTTAAAAGAACAAGGATGAGAAAAATGAGGAATACAGTCATAACAAACGGAAACCCAACTAAATCAAACGAAAAAGACAGTGGAATCAACCCAGCCAAACTTGACTAAAACCAAACGAAAGAGGAATAGACGTTTCAATAGAAAGAGGAAAAGACGAAACAAAGGAGAGATCGCGACAGTGACCTCAACTTTGTACAATCTGTCCAATGTCCATCTAACTGAGTCACAACGGAAAGTATTAAAAAAGGGCCTTGGCTTCAGTCCTACTCCCGACAGATTCGATAACTTTCAACTGCAAACAGACATTAATAAAACAATTCGCAACTACCGCTTGAGAGAATACTTTTTTGATCCATTCTCCAGTCAAACCATCAGCGATGTAGCTGAAACATATCCGAAATCCTTACGTGTTCCAAGTAGATGGACACCACCTACTGGGAGAAATTCTGACTTAGATCACTTCGCTAACACTCTAAAACGGGAAATCTAGAAAACGACATCAAAGAAACGTACATTTTCCAATCTCAAAAAAGACGAAGTCGAGGCCTTGAGGGAACTAGAACAAAGAGCAGCAAGGAATATCATCATAGTACCTGCGGACAAAGGCGGGGGGACTTGCATACTCACCCGAACTGACTACATCACAGAAGGTATGCGGCATCTATCGGATAACTTGATATACATGTGCATTCCAAAAGACATATCTATACAAATTGGCAACAAAGTAACCAAATTATGTCATAATATGAGGGAAGCCGACATTATTGATGACATAGTATTCAAAGGGATAACTCCAAAAAGACCTAAACCAGGTCGTTTACGTTTACAACCAAAAGTGCATAAGAAAAATCACCCCAGTCGGCCAATCATATCAACAAACGGAACTGCAACGGAAAAATTATCAGCTGTCATAGATTACAAAAACCTCATGTGCAAAGAGGTAATACCATCATATGTCAGAGACAGTATGGATTTTCTGAATATTCTGAAAGAAATTGACAATATTCCGCCAGGATCTTATTTAGTGACCATGGACGTGACTTCCTTGTATACAAATATTCCCCATAAAGATGGCATCTTAGCGGTGGAGAAGTATCTCAGTAAATATACCACAGAAAAACGGGAAATTTCATATATTAAATAATAATTCTTAGATGAGGGTACAGTCTATTTCTCCTGTGAATTGAGTCCTTGGGGTTCCAATGTTCCGAATTTGTTGATGTAGTATGCTTCTACTGTTTGGCGATAGCCCTGGTCTCTGAATAGTTTTTTTATTCCAGTTACTGAAAAGTCACTTATTGAATGTCCCAGTTTGTTGAAGTGTTCTCCCACTACTAAATCATATTTCCTTTTCGTAATACTTCTCAGATGTTCTGTTATACGATATTTTAACGACCTTCCGGTCTCGCCGATATACTGCATCCCACATTTTTTACAGTTTATTAGATAAATAACATTTTTTGATTTACAACTTATTCTTTCGTTAATGTTTATATGAACACCCGTCACGTTCACGGTACTTATTTTTGTTTCTTCGGAATATTTACAGGTGGTGCATGCTTTTCTATTACATTTATAAAAACCAGATTGTAGTTTCTGTGATATTACTGGTTGTAGTTTAGCTCTAACCAGTCTATCGCGTAATGTAGGGCA